TGTGTGTGTGTGTGTGTGTGTGTGTGTGTGTGTGTGTGTGTGTGTGTGTAAGGTGTGTGTGCGAGTATGTGTGTAGTTGCATAATACATTTTAGATGCATCAAGTGTGGTTTTCAGTGTGTAAACACTGTCCTCATCGCTGACTTCGGGTTTTGCATGATATCGGCTCAAACCGCAACCCCGACCTGACTCCAGACGAGTCAGGTCGCCTCCTTGAATGCATCTATCTACGAACCTTGATATTGCAAAAAAAAAAAAAAAAAAAAAAAAAAATCAGACCTGGCTAGGAGTCCAATCGTTCTTATTGACATATGTCAGTCAGCGTTGACCAACGATAAAAGGCTTTTCACGATCTCTTCCTCTGTACGGGTGTCTTTTTACTTAATCAGGTTTGTATGTGTGTTCGTATGTGTAATATTTTCATATTTTAACTTAATTTATTGTTTTGTTTCACACTTCATTTGCTTATACAAAAACACCATATATATATATATATATATATATATATATATATATATATGATAGCTCGCCAGTCGTATTCGTAGATACCCTTCTGATAGGGCGGCTAGCCAAACCCTATTGCAGACGCTCTCTCAGGCATATTTCTTTTGTTCAACACCCACAGACCCCACCTGCATCTATTCTGAGGAGACTTTACTTACAGTTTCTGAACGCGTTAGAACGTTCCCTTTCTGATCATGAGACCCAGGTTCGAATCTGACCATGATCGATTTGTCAGGAAGGAAACTTCCTCATGTTATCGGACTGGATCGAGGTCGATACCAACATGCGGCATCTTTGGAAATTCCTGAAAATCATACCATGGCTTGACCCAAACCGTGTGTGGGAAATTTGGTAGACGGAACTCTTGGGGTCCGTCGATATTTGTCTTAGCACGAAGTCACAAGTCATCGTGACCGAGGGCTTGGGCGTTCTGGCCTTGTTCATAGTAGTGATCACGCTAGATAATGCATATATATATATATATATATATATATATATATATATATATATATATATATATATATATATATATATATAGAGAGAGAGAGAGAGAGAGAGATAGATAGATAGATAGATAGATAGATAGATAGATTATTTATCTACCTTAAATTTACCTATATAAAATCTAGTCCATATGATGGTTATGTACATTTGAGTTTTAAGTTGAGAAATCGATCAATTTTACAAAAGCATTTCTAAGTAGAAAGTTTGCAATGGTAATTTAAATTTTTAATTTAAATTTAATTTAATTTTAATCTAATTTTTTTCCCGTTGTTCTCTGCATCATGTTTTGGAGCGAACAGTTGGCAACGCAATAAAAACAAATCAAATAACGAAGCGGTTTTCACAAATTTAAACTTCATATTTTATTTATATATTTCATTTCAGTCATACACAAACACACACATATATATATATATATATATATATATATATATATATATATATATATATATATATGTATGTATGTATGTATGATCGCTCTCTATAGGTCGACAAAATCTGTAATCATTTTTAAATAAAGGGAATAGGTGTTTTTACACCAGCACAGAATAAGTTTCCTTGGTCATAAACAGAGAATTCCATTACAAGCCAGCATGCAAACATACGCATACAAACGCACACACACGAAAACGCACACACACATACATAATCATTATTTTTGCAGTATATATCATAAGCAAGAATTATGATGCACATACACTCAAATCTTAAGCACGAACGCTGCTTGACAAAACTGTTTACAATGCGAAACAAAGACAAAAGTAAAGATGCATTTAAAAATTCTTGAAAATATGCCTCATCGACTCACATTTACGCACGCACTCAGATATAAAATATTGTTTTCAGAATATATTATAGCCAAGCTAGAATTATTATTCGTATACACACATGAACGATACATACAAACGCTGCTTGACAAGACAGACGCACGAGATGTATGCTTAACAATTGAAAAACAAAAATGTAAAATGGCAGAAACTTATTTCCTTTTCTTTTTCACCGCCATATTTCATTCTCTGAAGTATTTCTAAGCGAAACATGTTACATGTATAAAAGTTGCGTATTTGTTCCTTAACCTATATATGTATATATAAGTGTACATATATATATATATATATATATATATATATATATATATATATATATATGCGTTTGTGTATGTGTTGTCTGTTTTTCTGTATGATAAGTAGCGTATTGTATTAAATATATTTTCTTTTCGTTTAGTTAAGTTCAGTGAATGATTTTAATAGTGAATTTTGTTTCTTCTGTCTTATTTTCTGAACGAATGCTTTGTGCATTCTATTTCATAAAACAATTCGTCTTACTCTCAGAACACCTTAATTACTATTCGCCAAAAAGGCAATGTAAACGGAAAAGTTAATTTAGAATTAATTGATAGGAGATATCATTTCGCAATATTAAATCAAAATTATCGTCTTTTTTTTTCTCTCCGCCAGAATAAGTTGATAAATCAGTTTCTCTTTAAACAACCAAAGATAACCTAACGTCATCTGAGCTATATATCCATCAGTTAGAAAAAAAATCAACTGAATTGCAAAGAAATGGAATGGCAATATCGACTTGATTATTGATTGATTTTTGCAGTATTTTAACATTGAAAACTTTTCAGTTATTATGGATCACTGCACCGCATATGTTCTCATAAAAAAAAAAATAAAGAAGGCAGATGATGCCCGTAATGCCAAATCCCCGGCAACACCTTCTTTATTCTATCGGCATGACGATGCTAACTACCAAGAGAGTGATCATTGCGCCTTCTAGGGCTAACTTTTCTACAGACATGATATAGAAAGATTATATCAAAACAAATGCCATGTCTACTCTGATGAATATCAGTTCACTGCGTCGTGCTAGACAATTACTTACTCTCCGGAACCTATCTTACATATTTGTAAGTCTGTCATTTGTCCATCCTTCGAATATCACTGCCATATATGGTTTGCTGTTCCTGCAATATATGTAGAGACTCTTTATACAATTCTAAGTAGAGCCTGCAAAGTTATTGATTCTGAACTGCCATCCCAGCTTCAGTTGCTTTCCTTCCGCCGTAATGTAGCAAGGCGTGAAGCCACTAGGATGCAGGGAGTTGCAGAAGATTTAGAGCGAGAGTAGATAAGAGTGATAGAAGAAAGGATGAGGAGAGGGATAGTGGGTAGATCAAGGTAACTGGAGATGTCGATTGACATTACATTTGAATAGTTGGAGATTATTGCTTTCAGGGAAACAGTAATTGGGAACGGTGTTCCACAGGCGAGTTATGCGAGATATGAAAAAATTGGAGTAGAAGAGACGGCTACATTTAGTAATTTCTACAGTGAAAGGGTGAGAGTGGGATGCCAGCCTCATAGGGCGCTTGAATTCATGAAGTCTGGGAACCAGTGAAATCAGCTCATCGGAGCAGTTACCATGAAAGTATTTGTAAAAAAGACAGAGAGAGGCGACGGCGCGTCTGTGAGAGATCAACGGCAGACGAGATGCCAGATCAGGGCCAATTATATTACATATCCGCCACTGGATATATATATATATATATATATATATATATATATATATATATATATATATATATATATATATATGTATGTATGTATGTATATATATATATATATATATATATATATATATATATATATATATATGTATGTATGTATGTATGTATGTATGTATGTATATATATATATATATATATATATATGTATGTATGTATATATATATATATATATATATATATATATATATATATATATATATATATATGTATGTATGTATGTATGTATATATATATATATATATATATATATATATATATAGGGAGAGATAGATAGATAGATAGATAGATAGATAGATAGATAGATAGATAGATAGATAGATAGATGGATGGATAGATAGATAATTTTCCCTTCGTTTTCGACATATGAAGAACCGACAACGTCATTCATATTTTATGTTTGTGTCGTTTGTGACACCTGAGTCTCTAGCTAGTGATTTGTATACAAGTTCACATCTTTTGCGACAGGGAGACCCCAGGCTGGTTTGAATTATATACGTGTGTGTGTGTGCGCGCGTGCACAACTCCAGCTGATTTTAAATCGATTTCCGAAAGATAATTATTCAAAAATTCATTTCTATTTCAACACTTTTAGCAACACCTCTCTCACATGAGTCATTAATAATGCGTGTGCATTTTATTTGGAAATCTTATTTTGAGAAACATTTTTATTTGGCCTTCAGCACATAGCTCACACACTGACGAATACCTTTCCATGTGCGATAGATAAAAAAAAAATTACTACATTCTATTTCATCTATTTTTCTAATCAAAATTATAGAACCGATTCTGTTTTCTTTATAACACAGTAAATACTGGTATCCAATGACAATTAGAAAAAAAATCTTACATTTTGCCGACGCGTTTCGTCTTCCGACTTTTTCAAGGCAAACATGAAATCGAAATGTTTTTGTTGTTATAGTTACATTAAAAATCCAAATTTAAAAAGATAGACGCTTCTGTCTAAGCCTTTTTTTTCTCTGGTTAATGTAAATTACCTTGATAGTAAGGGATTATTATTATTATTATTATTATTATTATTATTATTATTATTATTATTATTATTTTCCATGTCGACAATAAAGTTAAATTCCCAGATTTATCTTTTTAAATTTTCATTTTTAATGTAACTATAACAACAAAAACATTTCGATTTCATGTTTGCCTTGAAAAAGTCGAAAGACGAAACGCGTCGGCCAAATGTAAGATTTTTTTCCAATTGTCATTTGATACCAATCTTGTCTTGTCCACAGAATTCATCTGGGAATTTAACTGCAGTAAATACTCTGTAATACAATTCAGCAAACATTACTTTTTAAATCTCAATATTGCTTTTGTTCCATTTTTATCATTCACAATGTATGGGTTTTACAAATTCTTCTATGTGAACACGGGAAAAAATATACCTTATTTATCCTTCAGGGATGCCCTTGAAAATTTTTAGCGGAAAATTTCTTCAGGACGTAAATGATGAGGACTCAACAGAGATTCTTTTTTCTTCCTCGCCATCAGAAAATTTGGGTGTGAGTTAATCTGGGAGAAGAACTAAAATTCAAAACCGTAGCTAAATCAACCTGAAATCATTGCACACTGCTTCCCAAGATATCATCACAATTGAAATATAATTATTATTCTTTGAATTGCCATTACTTCTTGGAAAACATTGTAAAGTGGTTTCCCGTTGCTTTCTCCAGGGTTTTGAGTTCATCGTAATCCTTCTTCTCGATTAACTGGCACCGAAATTCAAGATATGTCCTACCTGCTAGTTAACACAGCCCTGATGATAGAGAAGAAAAAAAATGAATCACTAGATTATTCAACGGTAATAGTGTGAAAATGAAAGCAATAGCTACTCGGTTGTTGCACTTCTGAATTCAATTCTTGGCGTTTTAATCGTTAGCATATCCATATTGAATTAGGAAATTCTTTTCTAATACTGAATATTCCAAGAATATTTTGAGAATCTCTAAATCTAAATTTATTATGTTGGTGCAAATGCGTAGGAACGAGCGATGTTGGGAATTTTAGAATTTTTTTAAGAATATATATTTTTTATTATTTTATTATATCCAGCCGATTTCATTTTAGAGTCTTTTTTCTTTTTCTTTCCATCACTTGTGTTAGTAGGTATTCCACACTGTAATAATAGAAGATCTGTCAGGAATGGTGACATGTTTTAAGAGCCAGAGCACAAATCTACTGTAGATGACCTTGCGATTAAGGCAATCTCTAGACATTTACGTCGTAGTGAATTATTTTCTCCTTTGAGAAGCTTTGACATAAGAAATAATACTCTGACCAAAGGAGGAAACAGTTCGCTCTGACGAAAATGTTTAGAGGATGCTTTTCTATTTATTTATAAGACTGGAGTTTTGTCCACTTTTGGGATAAGTGGCTGGGATTTTGCCCACTAGGCATTTTTCCGTTGTGTGCTAAACTTGAACTGTTTCTTTTTTATCCTGTGACTTTTTACCGTAATTTTTTTTTAATCTGTGACTTTTTTTACCTGTATTCTTTAATTCAATTGGCTGACCATATGTCAAGGAAACCTACATTGGTACCTTGTTTTCCTTAAGGGGGAGAAGACAATTGCTTTTAAGCAGGAAAAACGATTGCATTCAACGTCATTATTTGAAAGAATGCATTTAAGACGCGTCCATTCATTCGCTTTATTGGCTTCTGTTTTTTAAATCCTCAGTGAAGTACATTACAAACAATACGCTTTATCAAAGAGATATAATTAAGTGAAGAAAGAAAGTGACAATGATAATGACTCATGGAAAGCTGGATATCATTTAGTGCGTGATTACGTATACATAAGTAATAGTGCGTCTGTGTGTATTTGTATTTCTATGTACGGATAGACACGCGTTTTTGCGTGCTTATTTCTACATCATCCCCACTCTATCTCTCACGCACACACACACAAAACTCTATTTTCTCTATACCACCGATTTCTGACTTTCTCTCTTTTCCCTTCTCTCTACCCTCATTCGCGCCCTCCCACTTCCGCTTCTCCCCCTCTTACTATCACTCCCACGTTCTTCCACTCGCCAACTCTTTCCTCTCGCTTCTGCTCCATCATACACACTCTCTCGATGTCTGTCTATCTATCTATCTATCACTCACACTCAGAAACACACACTCACTCTCTCTCTCTCTCTTTGTCTAAATTCCTTTCTCTCCTTATCGCTATTTCTCACTTTTACTCTCTTACTCCCCACTTCTTCGCTCCATCATTCTTCCTCTTTGCCATCTTCCCATCACTCTCGCGTTCTAGGCAATCTTTCATCCCTCATCTCCTTCCAGTTCTACTCCATCATCCACTCTCACTCTCGTCGTGTATATGCCTCTCACCCCCACACCACGCTATTTTCCTTTCTCTCTTTATCTCTACCTATTTCTATCTTTCTCTCCTTTCCACTCTCCATCCAGCCATCATTCCCTCACTTTCCCTTTTCCGCTTCTTGCCATCTCACTCCCTTTCTATGCAGTCATTCGCCCCTCATCTCCTTCTTCTCGCTTCTTCTCCATTACACACTTTCTCTGTCTATCTGTCAGTCTCTCTCTCTCTCTCACACACAGACACATAATTTTCCTTTCTCTTTTTTTCGCTATTTTCTAACTTTCTCTCTCTCTCTCCACCCCTTCGCTAACTCCCTCTTCCTACCTCTTTCCAGCTCCCTTTCTACACACCCTTCATCTTCTTCCTCTCGCTTCTTCTCCATCCCCTACTGTGTCTGTCTGCCTGTCTCCCCGTCTGTCTGTCCCTCTCTCTCTCTCTCTCTCATACACACACAATATTTTCCTTTCTCTCGTTATCTCTACGTATTTTCTCACTTTCTCCCCTTCATCTCTCCCCACCTCTTCGTTCCCTCTCTCTTCCTCCCTCTTTCCCTCTCTCTGATATTCTACCCACTCCTTCACCTATTCATCTCCTTCCACTCGAATCTACTCCATCACCCACTCACTTTAACTTCGTCTTCTCTATTCACTTTCGTTTTACGTAAACACGGATTTTTTTTTTGTACTGACAGACTGATTACAATTACTGTTTCATTATTCTGTTTTGTTTGTCATAAATTTCCACTTTTATTTTCATTCGTGTTATATTTTTCTTCATCGTTTCCGTCAAAGAGTATATTGATTTCTAAATTGTATGTTTAGGACTTAAAACAACAGCTCTATAATAGAAACGGTGCAAGGAGATCACGTGATAATATATTTATATATATATATATATATATGTGTGTGTGTGTGTGTGTGTGTGTGTTTGCACGCGGGCGTTGGTACATATTTACAAAATAAATATTTACATAATACGTATAATAGACAATATATATTTGTACAATTCAATGGATCAAACTAAATTATAATTATCGAATCGAACATATACGCATATGGTTTGCTTCTTGGACGAGGTACGGGCAGATCAATGATTGCCATTAATAGATGATTGCAATCATTTATATCCAACAAAACTAGCCATTCTTCATTGAAGGAAAGTATAGTTATTTTCCAAGCATAGCTTACATATGGCACAAGGCCGAAAGTATGGGGCATCTAGTGAGGATCGAACTCACTTTTCAGTTTTAACTGATCTAGCGAGACAAGCTTGCTAACCATTACACCACGCTGTGGTGCCCTTGAAGGAAATTATAGTCTCCGACCCTGTGTCCTCCAATGTATAAAATAAGGTGATCAGACATGTATGATGCACATTAAACTAACACGTACCCGAAATGTTTTCGCGTGTTTCGACTTACCGGAATTAATTTTTAAAAAAATATAACCACATTTTAAAATGTAACATTAAAACGCTTTTAATTTTCTTTCACATTATTTACTTGTAAACTTCCCTGATGATGACTCATGTGATTCGAAACCAATGAAACGGCATTGATTTTAGATATTTCGTGCATCGGTGGTAGACGGATTTGTGAAAGATTATTCGCAATTTATAAAATAAGATGTTTAAATTTAGTAGAAATAGACTTCTTTAATTCTTCATCTTCTGTGTGATCTGACTCTTGATGATGTTATCGGTCATGGCTCTCCACAACATCTTTTACTTTGTAGTTCTTAGTAAATTTTATCTTTTCATCATCACTCCTAATCTCTGTTTTGCCGTGCATTTAGACAAGATCGTTAGATAGGTTATGCGCTGTTTTTTCACCGTTGCTCGCATGCATTGTCCAGGGTATTCTCAGCATCCTTCTGTAGAACCACATTTTGGTTACTTTAATCTCATCTTCATATTTTTCAATACAACATGTTTAAAAGAACAACTGCAGCCTAAGTAAACTAACCCCCCACACACACTCATTTTTCCTTTCTCTCCTTATCTCTTATCTTCTTCTCACTTTCTCTCCCTGCCACTCTCTTTCCAGTCCCCTTCTCCAGCTCATTCTCCTTATTTTCCTCTCCTTCCAACTCTCTCCCGTTCCATGCACTCTTTCAACCCTCATCTTCTTGCCCTATAAGTAAATTTTGTCTTTTGCATCACTCCTAAACCCTGTTCTGCCAGCCTTTTACGCAAGTCCGTCAGGTAGGTCAAGCATGTTTTCACCTTTCTCTCCATTGCCTTCAGTATATATAAATATATATATATATATATATATATATAATATGCATGTGTATATATATATATATATATATATATATATATATATATATATATATATTATAAATTAATTGATTTAAAATATGTTTTTTTTCGCTACACAGTTCCAACCATGTTTCAAAAATAGAAGCTAAAAACCCCGAATTTAATTTTGCAATTAAATTAAAAGCATTAGTTCCATTTCATCTTCAAGCGAATTTTGGAGTAACTTTTAAAAATTACCGGGTTTTAAAGACACAGCTAAAATCACATTTCCATGGTTACAGAATATTCTACTTAAATTGAACAAGGGATGTCTAGATTTCCTTATGTCAGTATCATTGTATCAGTTATGAGCTACAATTTGGAAGGGGTAGGGATGTATTTTACAATGAAACCTGACATCAGTTGAAATGGATGACGAAATTTATGTATGTGTGTGTGTTGAGAGAGAAAAGGGCGCCGCCGTGTGATTATGTATGTACGTTACGTATTGGAAAGCGCTCACTATTATTTAGTGATATATATATATATATATATATATATATATATATATATATATATATATATATATGTGTGTGTGTGTGTGTGTAATTTTATATATATTATTTATATATTATGTATGCACGTTACTTATTGGAAAGCGCTTAATATCAGTCATAGAGCTAATATGGAGCTGTATATATATATATATATATGTGTGTGTGTGTGCGCGTATTGAGAGAGAGAAAAGGGCCCCGGCGACGCCTCCTGATATATAGATATGTTTATTTTTCATAAAGGTTATATTTAGTGGAAGCTCAAACCTGAGTTGACGCTATAACGGCAAGCGAAAGTTGTGATTTTTGTTGTTTCCACTTAATCAAACAAAATACCGTTATCAAAAGAAAAAAAAACACTTTAGAGAACAAAGCCCTCCGCAGGATATGTTTATTATGAGTATTTTGTGTATTTCCTGAAGCGATAATGCACAAGGCATTTTGTTCATTTATTATTGAGTTCCTTTCTTTATTAGATCCAAAACTCCAAACACAATAGGAACAGTTTTAGTTTGTAAGTATCCCATTTTTCTTCTATTTTCCTCACCAGGTTTTTGCATTTGCTTATTTTTATAAAAAATAAAGATTTTTGCTTTTACCTCTCTTGTCAATCTGTGAACAATCTCCACCTTGTGTGTTCTTGATGATAATATTTGGGCAATTGGCTTGTATTCTTCAATATTTGTGGATAGAAGAATCATCAGAGTATAGTAATACCTGCTCATTCAACTAAAGATTAAGAATGATAATCATACAATTTTGCATTTATTTACATCCCGTAGTGATGACAGATTTTCCAATCTATAATATTATTTTGCTATGATTTATGTACTTAAAATATTGATGACACTTTTTTCATCATTTAAAAGGTAGGTGTTTGTTAAAAGTATATAAAAGTGTTTAAAAAAAAACAATTAAAAAACAACATTTGGTTTTAATTATTTAAATATAAAGCCATATTTGTTTATTTTATTTAATTATATATAGGCTTAATTTTCTAATTCCTTAATTCGGCTTAATCTATCTTCGTATAGGTAGTACCACGGACTTCAAAAAAAAAACAAAAAAAAAAACGAAAAACACGTTTTAAATAATTTAAAGGTCTTTGAACTTAAATTAACGTTCTTTTTGAAATATAATGCCCTAAAGATAATCCGAATTGAAAGGATAATTTATTTCCGTACAAATGTTTTAAGCATTTTTTAAAATGTTGATACGTTTGTTTTTTGTCACACATCGAAAAAGTAAACAAATTTAAAAGCTTCTTTTGAATCCAATATTTGACTTCGAGGTGTGTTTCGAAGTATATGAGTAAATTTAAAACTAAATTAACAGGATTTTCTACATAAAATAGAATGAAAATAACGTTTAATTTACACACGGTAGCCTGTGAGATCTAAGGACAAAATAGAAATACTTTAATTCTATCCATTATGCGAAAAAGCGTGAGATAAATTTAAAAAAAATAAAGAAATAAGGTAGACCAGTCGTGCAATAATCAAGAATGTGTTCAATCAGTCAGTTATTCACTCTTAGGCGACTATGTATTTTTCAATACATGACTGATGAGGCATAGTTTTTTTCTTGCAGTAGGTAGCCATTTCTTCTGCGGTAAACCAGTTGCCATCGAAGGCTATAGAACCCGGTCTGTCCTGCTATTTACTCATAGCTGGGAGAGAGAAGTAAGGATTCAAACCTTTACCAAAGGAATATAATGGATCTGAATGGATTGCGTCTCTCTCAATCCGAGCCGCAATGTAACCATGGATGTGACATCCCTGTATTCTAACATCCCACACGAGGAGGGAATTTGAGCCTGCAATAATTTTTTACCTGATCGAGGCTTTCAGGAAAACTCCGCACAAGATATCAGCAACATTATACAATTAATTCTCACTAACAACAATTTCGAGTTTAACTAGCACCGTTGTTTTCAAGTCGGAGGCAAAGCGATGGGAACGAAAATGGTTCCCCGCTATGCAAACATATTCATGGATACCCTGGAACAAAATATTTTGAGTAGTTACCATCTAGGACCCCTCCATTATCACAGATACATAGATGATAGTTTCTTTATACAGTAGCGGCCATAATATAAGGAACGGAAACAACAAAGACATGAATATGAGTAATGCAATGAAATTTTTACCGAATAAAGATTAAGGCGTAATGCATAAATATTATACAAACTTACAAAAATTTACATAATAGATTTTTGGTTAAATAAAGATTAAATGGAACAAAGGAAATAAGCTACTGGACAAAAGTTAAGGAACAATCTTGTTAATACTTGATTGTGAACAAAATATCAACAAAATTTAATATTTGGTAAACATCCCCTTATTTTCAATGACTTCTCTGCATCGTCGACCACATGATCTAATTAATTTCTTACAAAAATCAGCAGTAATCCCCCCCATTTGTCTTTCAATAACTCCCATAGGTTATCCTCGTTTTTCGGGTTTCTTTTCTGAGCCCTTTCTCCAATTATCTTCCAAACATTTTCTATTGGATTCAGGTCGGGGCTCTGGGCTGGCCACTTCATTAGGGTGATTCCTTCTTCTTCAAATAAAGCCATAACCTTCTGAGCCTTTTGGCAAGGTGCCTTGTCCTGCATGAAAATAAGAGATTCATAAAAATTATGGTGTAATCTTGGTACCACATGCTGCTGAAGAAGCCTTTTGTAAATCTCAGCATTGATATTGCCATGTACGCGGATGATAGGGCCAACTCCTGCAGATGAAATCATTCCCCACACCGCCACACTGCCGCCACCAAACTTAACGGTTTTCTTGACACATTGAGAAGACAGTCTTTCACCTGTTCTACGGTGTACGTAAGTTTTGCCCTCAGAACCAAATATGGTAAACTTGGACTCGTCACTGAAATGAACTCTATCCCAGTGTGCGTCAGTCCAAATAACATGTTCTCTCACATACTCCAGGCGTGCCCTTTGGTTTCGCTTTGAAATGAGCGGCTTCGAAGCTGGAATACGGGCATGCAATCCTGCATGTTTTAACCTACAAGCAACCGTTTTCCTTGAGATCTTATTACCTGTCTCTTCATTACATTTACGGGCAATTGATGTAGCAGTTTCAAGACGGTTTTTGTAGATATTCTAACAATTCTTCGATCTTCTCTTTGCGATGTTTTTGGAGGTCTGCCGGTTTTTGGTTTTGCATCTAACGTTTTATCGGTTTTATACCTGCTAATTACACGATGAACGACACTATTAGACCTGTGAACAATATCAGGAATTTCTGAAATTGACTTTTTCTACCTGAAAGTTAGCGATAATGATTTTGTTTCTTCAAAAGAGAGCTTTTTGCGTGTAGAATTTGCCATATTGCTTAAAAATAAAGTCTTAATGATAAATGAACTTTTACTTATTGTTGAAAAGCTCCATCGAGTTTTTTGAACAATGTAAATTAAAAGTTTATGCAAATTATTAACGTCGTTCCTTAACATTTGTCCAGTAGCTTATTTCCTTAATTAATTAATTTAATCTTTATTTAAAAAAAAAACTATTATGTAAATTTTGGTAACTTTGTATAATATTTATGCATTACACCCTAATCTTTATTCGGTAAAAATTTCATTGCCAGTCATGCATTACTTTTTAAGTAATACACATATTTATGCCTTTCTTGTTTCCGTTCCTTATATTATGGCCGCTACAGTATGGTCACACGGATAGAACAGTCTCCGAGGCTTTAAAGAAAAATTACATTTTACGCCACACCATCAAATTCACATTCAAATATTCCACAACGTCTATTCCGTTTCTGATTGTAATGGAACGTCTAAACAAGAACTACATCTTCAATACACTATACACCAAACCTACAGATGATACCCGAACATCAATAGCTGCCACCCTACGAACCTAAAAGAATCAATTAACTACAGCCAAAGTCTATGCATAAGACGTATCTGTTCACAGAATGGGGATTGCGAAATACACAGAGGACAATTATTCAATTACGTTCCTTAACAGGAATTAACGACTTACAACTACCAAAAAAATCAATTACTAGGGATTCCAAACAAAATAGGAATACACTTCTAACCTACGTAACAAAAAGAATATTTCCACAATTCCCTTGAATTTTTTTTTTAATTACAACATTCATAAGCTTTTCCATATTTTAACAAAAAATGTCCAGTATTTAAAACTTGACCGGACAATTAAAAATATATTAAACGAAAACCGGCTCCCCCTCTAAGCGCCAACACCCTAACCTACACACGCTCTTAACGATATCATGCATTCAACTTTCACCACCTCAGCAAGGGAGTATGACCTGTCTGCAGCAAAGCCTGATACCAAGTCCGTAGATAT